ATCACAGACAGGACTATTCTTGCGAATAAGCCTGATATTGTGCTGATGGACCGGGCACAGTCAAGGATCTTTTTGGTCGACATTACCATTCCTTATGACGAGAACCTCGTGAAAGCCGAAACAGATAAGGTGACAAAATATCTGGACCTGGCTCACGAGGTTACCGGCATGTGGGGTGGTCTGCCGGCCGAAATTATTCCTGTGGTCGTTTCTGCGAACGGGTTAATCCCAGTCAGCCTCCCGGGTCATCTGAGGCGACTGGGACTCCGTGACGGACCGCTCCAGGCTCAAATGCAGAAGGCGGTGCTCCTCGATACCGCCCGCATCGTCCGCCGGTTTCTTTCCCTTTCCCCCTAACCCTCGGCCGTCTGGTCTCCCCTGCCGAGGGCTTCCATCTGGTTGGGTTTTTATATATTTATGTATTTTTTATGTATTTATTTTATTTTATTCATATTTATGTATGTTTACCATTTTCATTTACAATTATATATTTATACTGCCCAACCAGATGAGAAAATTTTATAGAATAATAAAAATAATAATATAATATAACTTTATTTCAGACATAATTAGTCCATATTAAGTGTAAGTATATTAGTAACAATTTTACTTAATAACTATGTTAGTAATGTTAGTATTTATGCCTACATAATAATAATATATATATACATAATTCATTATCTTTTTAATCCTATTGCCAGCTCTACCCAGTGTCGATGAAGGTGACAATGCGGTCTGGCCGCGATCATTTCTAAAATGCTGTTATTACTGTTCCGCAGACGCTGTAACATTGAGGCTGATTTCTTTCGCATAATAGCATGAAATCTATTAGTTCTAGCATCCGCGAACATTTTCGAAGCACTACAGCGCCATGGCAGTCTCAACAGCATTCTAAAAGCGTTATTGTATTGAATGCGAAGGGCGCTGTAAGCTCGTCGCCTGTATGATACCCACAGGCTACTCGAGTAAAAAATTTGGCAAAATGCTTTGAAAAGAGTGACTTTTACGTCATCTGTACATCGAGCAAACCTGCGGGCAAGCATATTGCTCCTAACTACCAGCGCCCTACGCTCCCTCTCTATATCACAATCATCACTTAAATCACTCGTTATAATGTGACCAAGATACTTAAGAGTATTAACAATATTTAGGACTATACCATTGAGGTATACTGGAGGAACACGACGCGGTGGCTGTTTCGGTGCTCTATAAACAAGAATTTCACTCTTTTTCGAGTTGTACTGCAAGCCGTGATCCTCCGCATATTTCTCGCAAATAGACAATAGTTTCTTTAATCCGCCCACAAATGGACTGAGCAGCACCATGTCGTCTGCATAGCTTATATTATTAATACATGTCTCGTCAATATGATAGCCGACATGTGTGCTAACCAGTTCCACGATAAGCTGGTTAATATATAAATTAAATAACAACGGAGAGCTTAAACCGCCTTGTCTGACACCAGATTTTAATCTATATTCATCTGATAGCCTACCCGCCCATTTCACCTGGTTTTTTTGATTACTGTACCAGTACTTGATCAGAGAAGTATAATCTGCCGGCACACCCGCGTTTCTCAACTTGCTCCATAGTATATCATAATTGACCAAGTCAAAAGCCTTGGATAAGTCGAGGAAACACGCGTATACCGGCGTCCTTCTAGCAGTGTAATATCCGACAGTATGCTTCAATGTAAGAATTGCACTTTCCGTCGACAATCCTACCCTGATTTCTTATATTTACGCGAACACTACACATTTAAATGAAACTAATTTTACGGATTTTATCGCGTATATTTACTTATTTTACATTCCCGACGTTTCAAGCACTTTACAGCACCCATGGTCACGGGGGGGGGGGGACTGAGGTGTATGACGTCCCAATGTCATAGTTATCCACGGCTACCTCCAGATTAAAAATTATTAATTTTTGTTCCGATCTACGCAGTATGAACTTACAGTATCATGAAGTCTTGCAGTTGTATGCTTGGGTTGGGATTTAATTTTATTAATTATGGGATCGCAAGCAGATGGTAGCACCCAGCCATCTTCTCTATTGAAATTAGGATGTTTTTTGATTTCAATAGCCTTGCGAATCATCCTTGGAAGGAATCGGTGTTCTTTAGCGAGGATTTGTGGTCTATCAAATCTAATGTAGTGACGGGGGCGATCCTGTACATGTTCACAGACTGCAGACTTCCCGGAGCGTCTATTCTTCACATCAGCTATGTGTTCTTTAACGCGGGTTTTTATGGATCTTTTAGTTTGTCCTATATAAGAGAGACCACATTCACAATCCAGCTTGTACACTCCTGCATCTTGCAGAGGAATATTACACTTGACTGATGGTAAAAACTGACTAATCTTCTTCGGCGGCTTGAAATATGTTTTAATGGAAGCACGCTTCAAGATGTAGCCAATCTTGTCAGTGACACCTCTGACATATGGCAGTACAGCAGGCACTCGCTCGACTGTGGCCGGCTTCACTCGTTCACTGTGACGTAGGCGCGGGACCCGAAGCTTATTGTCGTGCAAAACTTGCTTGACGTATTGGAGCTCGGCGGCCAGGTGTTTACTGTCACAGATCCCTCGTGCTCTCTGAAACAAAGATTTACCCACGGTAGCTAACTGTGAAGGATGGTGGTGAGAATCACCGTTTAAATATCTATCTTTATGGGTCTTTTTTCTATACACAGTGTGGCTCAAGGTGTTATCAGGATTCCGAATTACTAATACATCTAGAAAAGCTAAAGAATTGTTTGCCTCTAACTCCATTGTGAACTGAATTTTAGAATTTAAGGAGTTAAGATGGTCTAAAAATGCAGTTACTTTATCTAAAGGTAGAATTGTGAAAGAGTCGTCTACGTACCGCTTGTAGAATCTTGGGTTTATGGGAGAAGTAAGCAGGGCTTTCTCCTCAAAGTCCTCCATGAATATATCGGCGACAATGGGAGATACAGGTGAGCCCATCGCCACTCCATCTACTTGCTTGTAGAACTCCTCCTTCCACAATAGGTAGCCAGATGTAAGGCAGTGTCTGAGTAATACTGCATATTCTACGGGCATGTTGTTTTCCTCTAGCCTTCTAGTAACAATCGAGATGCAGTCTTCAACAGGTAGGCATGTGAACAGAGACTGCACATCAAAACTCACCATAGTTTCATTGTCTGCCAGATGTAGGTCTTTAATCTCGCTGACAAAATGGTAGGAATCCTTTGTGTGTGCTCTTGTATGTCCCTTGAGCGGTGAGAGTATATTCGCTAAGTATTGAGCCAATCTGTAAGTTGGTGAATCGATTTGGCTCACTATAGGACGTAGTGGAGCATTGGGCTTGTGTATTTTTGGTAACCCATACAACTTCGGTGGTTTAGCACACGTAGGTATTATCGATTTTACGTCTAGATTTAATTTTTCGGAGTGTTTCTTTATGAGATCACTAGTTGTTTTAAGTGTGTTATTTGTTGGGTCATTTTTAACCTTTTTATACGTACTTGCATCCGACAAAAGTTCTTGTATTTTAGAATTATAATCTGACGTATCCATAACTACCGTGGCATTTCCCTTATCTGCGCGAAGAATCGTGAGTTCTGGTTTATTGCGTAGGTTAGTCAACGCTTTGAATTCGTCTTTAGGTAGATTCGGTTTTGGCGCTGAACTTCGACGTAACATAGACGAAATGTCTTGACGTATCGCTTCCAAATCCTCCTTTTGCATATTGTTTTTAAATAAACAGTCCTCGACACTACAGATAATTTGTTCGTACGGTAATTTTTTCGGTGTTATAGCAAAATTAAGACCTTTCGATAATACTCTAATTGTTGCATCATCCAGAGTTTGTTTAGACAGATTATAGACCGCGTTTAATCTATGATCCGCGTTCGTAGTCGACGGTTGCGTTTCGTTCTCACGTCGACGCAGATGTTGGACATTTAATTTGGTCGTTAATTTTTGATATTTTATTATATGTTTGTTTTTGCATTCATTATATTTATTAATTTCTCGTTTATTTAACGTTTCAATGCAAACATTATAATCAAATGTCGTTAAAACTGCCCTTAAATCACTGAATGATGTGTCTATGGATTTGTTTATGGTATGTAGATCGGAGAGTTTTTGTTGGATTACCGTTCGTAACAACTTTTTACTTGCCTCATTTAAGATCTTAGCGCTTCCTCGAATGTCCTTTTTAGTGGATATTTTGACACACGTAGGGATGATATTATTATCACGACAGCGTTTTAAAAAGTTTAATGCTGTTATATATCTTGCGCGCTTAGTCACGAGATCTTCTAATCAGCGAATTTTATTTGCAATTATCAGTCCGTACTGGTTCACATAGTGATTTCTTATATTTACGCAAAAACTACACATTTAAATGAAACTAATTTTACGGATTTTATCGCGTATATTAACTTATTTTACATTCCCGACGTTTCAAGCACTTTACAGCACCCATGGTCACGGGGGGGGGGACTGAGGTGTATGACGTCCCAATGTCATAGTTAACCACGGCTACCTCCAGATTAAAAATTATTAATTTTTGTTCCGATCTACGCAGTATGAACTTACAGTATCATGAAGTCTTGCAGTTGTGTGCTTGGGTTGGGATTTAATTTTATAAATTATGGGATCCCAAGCAGATGGTAGCACCCAGCCATCTTCTCTATTGAAATAAGGATGTTTTTTGATTTCAATAGCCTCGCGAATCATCCTTGGAAGGAATCGGTGTTCTTTAGCGAGGATTTGTGGTCTATCAAATCTAATGTAGTGACGGGGCGATCCTGTACATTTTCACAGACTGCAGACTTCCCGGAGCGTCTATTCTTCACATCAGCTAAGTGTTCTTTAACGCGGGTTTTTATGGATCTTTTAGTTTGTCCTATATAAGAGAGACCACATTCACAATCCAGCTTGTACACTCCTGCATCTTGCAGAGGAATATTACACTTGACTGATGGTAAAACTGACTAATCTTCTTCGGCGGCTTCGGCCACGGTAGTTATGGATACGTCAGATTATAATTCTAAAATACAAGAACTTTTGTCGGATGCAAGTACGTATAAAAAGGTTAAAAATGACCCAACAAATAACACACTTAAAACAACTAGTGATCTCATAAAGAAACACTCCGAAAAATTAAATCTAGACTTAAAATCGATAATACCTACGTGTGCTAAACCACCGAAGTTGTATGGGTTACCAAAAATACACAAGCCCAATGCTCCACTACGTCCTATAGTGAGCCAAATCGATTCACCAACTTACAGATTGGCTCAATACTTAGCGAATATACTCTCACCGCTCAAGGGACATACAAGAGCACACACAAAGGATTCCTACCATTTTGTCAGCGAGATTAAAGACCTACATCTGGCAGACAATGAAACTATGGTGAGTTTTGATGTGCAGTCTCTGTTCACATGCCTACCTGTTGAAGACTGCATCTCGATTGTTACTAGAAGGCTAGAGGAAAACAACATGCCCGTAGAATATGCAGTATTACTCAGACACTGCCTTACATCTGGCTACCTATTGTGGAAGGAGGAGTTCTACAAGCAAGTAGATGGAGTGGCGATGGGCTCACCTGTATCTCCCATTGTTGCCGATATATTCATGGAGGACTTTGAGGAGAAAGCCCTGCTTACTTCTCCCATAAACCCAAGATTCTACAAGCGGTACGTAGACGACACTTTCACAATTCTACCTTTAGATAAAGTAACTGCATTTATAGACCATCTTAACTCCTTAAATTCTAAAGTTCAGTTCACAATGGAGTTAGAGGCAAACAATTCTTTAGCTTTTCTAGATGCATTAGTAATTCGGAATCCTGATAACACCTTGAGCCACACTGTGTATAGAAAGAAGACCCATACAGATAGATATTTAAACGGTGATTCTCACCACCATCCTTCACAGTTAGCTACCGTGGGTAAATCTTTGTTTCAGAGAGCACGAGGGATCTGTGACAGTAAACACCTGGCCGCCGAGCTCCAACACGTCAAGCAAGTTTTGCACGACAATAAGCTTCGGGTCCCGCGCCTACGTGTGAACGAGTGAAGCCGGCCACAGTCGAGCGAGTGCCTGCTGTACTGCCATATGTCAGAGGTGTCACTGACAAGATTGGCTACATCTTGAAGCGTGCTTCCATTAAAACATATTTCAAGCCGCCGAAGAAGATTAGTCAGTTTTTACCATCAGTCAAGTGTAATATTCCTCTGCAAGATGCAGGAGTGTACAAGCTGGATTGTGAATGTGGTCTCTCTTATATAGGACAAACTAAAAGATCCATAAAATCCCGCGTTAAAGAACACATAGCTGATGTGAAGAATAGACGCTCCGGGAAGTCTGCAGTCTGTGAACATGTACAGGATCGCCCCCGTCACTACATTAGATTTGATAGACCACAAATCCTCGCTAAAGAACACCGATTCCTTCCAAGGATGATTCGCGAGGCTATTGAAATCAAAAAACATCCTAATTTCAATAGAGAAGATGGCTGGGTGCTACCATCTGCTTGGGATCCCATAATTAATAAAATTAAATCCCAATCCAAGCATACAACTGCAAGACTTCATGATACTGTAAGTTCACACTGCGTAGATCGGAACAAAAATTAATAATTTTTAATCTGGAGGTAGCCGTGGATAACTATGACATTGGGACGTCATACACCTCAGTCCCCCCCCCCCGTGACCATGGGTGCTGTAAAGTGCTTGAAACGTCGGGAATGTAAAATAAGTTAATATGCGCGATAAAATCCGTAAAATTAGTTTCATTTAAATCCTACCCTGAATCCGATCTGCGCGTCATGCACATCTACATATTTTATGAGGCAACCATTTAACAAACGGTCAAGTACTTTCACTGCGGTGGTAGCAAGTGAGATAGGCCGGTAGTTGCTAATATCAGAAGCATCACCTGTCTTGTTTTTAATAATTGGCACCACTATTTTTCGCATCAGCCCCTCAGGCAAATAAGAGTGAACTAGACACTGGGTAAAAAACATGGCAAGAACTCGTGGTAAATGGATCCCTGCTTATTTAAAATGTTCAATACTGAGACAATCGTGACCCGGGGACTTCCTACGCTCCATTCTCTCAATAATCTGAGCCACCATTTTAGCGGGTATCTTAACATTACGTTCCTTCACGATGGTCTCACTATCGCTCATCTCCTCACACATGGGACTTAAGAGTGACTGCATGGTGAACTGTTTCCTATAAGCATCCGCAATTTCTTAATGGTCACAAGCACCACCGACGTCCACAGGGAGGCACGGCCTTATATTCATTTTATTTATGTTTTTTCAGAAAATTTAAACTCTTTCGAGGAGTGGTCGGAAGCAAGGCGGTCCATTTTAAGTTGCTCCTGCCTGTCCTGGCACCATTTAAGTTTCGCTTGAAAGTGCCTCCTTGCCTCCGACATATCATTAAAAACTCGACCACTAGCTGGCCGCCTAGCTAAATTCCACAATTTAAATTTCAGCCTTGCCTCCCGGTAGGGGCCCGCGTCATGCTTATTCCATCCAATAACATAGCCTCCCTTCTTTCGACACTTAACTTTGTGTGTTTGGATAGCAGCCTCAGACAATATATTTATTATATCTAAATACAACTTATCTAAGGCTGAGTGATGATTCTTGTTATTACAGAACTCATCACAACATGCACATAGTTCCTGTGGAAATTCTATTAGTTTAAACTTAGTATGACAGAGGTTATGATACTGGTCAATTTTGCTGCTGCTGTCTCTCTCCCCATATAACACGGCTCATAGGTCGTTCTATATCCAATTTGGCTACTTTTGGCTTAAGTTTACTCAGATTACATACGACTACTAGTGGGTAGTGGTCAGACCAATACACGTCATTTTTTACCGTTACGTTAACGATTGTATTCCGCGCTGACTCTCTGACAATGCAGTGATCCAACCATCTATTATAACCGTGAGCCTCACTACAATAGCTATATGTATTACTGGCACAGATATTTAAATCTACACAAATCCAATTAAGATCCACACAGAATTCCAACATTACATTATAAAATAATTCACTAGGGTGTGCATTAAAGTCTCCTAAGATATAAATAGCCGATACTCCATTGTTCTTCTCTATTTCTATTATAGAGCGAATGGCTCCAAGACACGCAGTAAACTCGGAAAGGTTATCATAAGAGTTTGTAGGCATAACACACTGAACATAACTACTGATCTATTACTCACGTTTAGCTTTATCGCGCAGATCCTCTCGTTATCACACTCAATCACATTCACTGACTCGAAGGCACACTTACGCCATAACAGCGCCACCCCACCATACGGCCTCCCGCTGAGTAAGCCTGCCGCTGTATCGACTGCAGACCCAAAGTTGCTGTCAATCGTGCTGAGTATAGGCAGATCATGTGGCAACCACGTCTCCTGGAGAGCTACCACATCAGCTGTCTGACATAAGGTCCTCACTCCTTCTATTGACCTTTTGATAGATTTACAATTAAAACTAATTATTTTACTGTATTTTTCCATTAACTTTCTTAAGTTATATTTATATAATATCTCACTATAAAATACATAGCTATAATATTGTATTTATATATATAAATATAAATGTATTTATATTTGAATTTATGTATCTTTGTTCTCTGTTATTTCAGTATTTTCCTTACTTTCTCGCCTTCCATCAAAGTTTACAAACCGTCTAAACGATATCCCAGATGGCCACAGCTTATCGTCCAGGAATGTATCAATCTTGTGCTTAGCTACAAACAATTTATAACTGTAGTCTCTTTGTCGCTTCATTTGAATTTTTACTAGAGACACCTTTTCCCGCGTTTTTTCATATATATAGTTAACAATGTCCTGTTCATCTACATCCTTATGTACATTAGATATAAAAAGGGGCACCTGCGTGTCCGCTGCCTTAAACTTTAGACTTTTTCCCTCTAAATCAACTGCCGTTCCTTTCTGACTTATAAATCGGTTTCTTAGTCTCCATTTTTGGACTACAATCAATTTTTCGCTTCTTTTTGGTTCCTTCCATTCTTCATCTCTCTGAACTACCTCAGAAAAAGTCTTTCGCCTCGCTATTAATGTATCATTTATTTGTTTATCCTTATCAATTAACGCGTCAAACGGCTTGCTAACGTGCCCATCAGCTGTTTCATTCACTACAGGTATAAACGGTCGCGTTGCACTATGAATCATTTTGCACTCATCTCCTATCGCATTCGCACATCGTGAGCTTTGTAATACACTCGCTGGAGGTTGCGACTTCTCATTCACACTTGACATAATTATTGGCGATGAGTGACGGGAATGCATAGATTCTTGATGTGATTTATTAGACAGAGACTTACACTTTTCTGGTTCATTAGCCTCAGCAATGTATGACGCATTATTGCAAGATGTTGAGAGCGCCATCAGTCCACTATCGTACATAAAATTGTCACAATCACCTCTTTTGTATATAATATTTTGTTCGCGTTTGCAAATGAATTTAATCTAAAATACTCATTTATTTCATCATGAAGTTGGTTTTTCGTAACGTACTGATGTTCAATGCCATGTATAGTTTTCTCTAATAGTACTACCTTTTTAAGCAACACTGTCACATCAACATGATCGAACGTTACGGGTGGAAGTTTTTCTAATCGTCTTGCTACAAAAATTGGTACCTGTTCGGGGTCTGTTTCTTTAAGCAAGCAGATGATATCCTCAATATTCCTTAGAGTTTTGCCCTGTCGTTTTCTAATTTTTGGTCGCTTGCTCACTGATTCAAATAATAACGACTTCGCTAATTCAATTTCTTCAGCACTAAATGAACTTTCACAAATCTGTATCAGGCTTTGTTCATCCATCACATCTAGTTTATTTTGCACAAAGGCCTTTAGATTTTTAGACAGATTACAATATTACAATTTGAACACTTCAATCGCTTCGATATGCTATCTATTGCAGCGGCATAGATCAATGACAGCGTGCGCTTGCGTTCACGGTCTAGACCCAACTGTGATAATGATAATAATTAATGATGATAATATTCATTACCTTATGAAACATTTCAAGAAAATAATACCGAACTTTTTACTTAAACGTGTGTTTGCTGGTGGGATGTCGTAACTTTTCGCAGCTCATTTCAAAGGCGCGCAGTGTGGATAGGAAATGCTGAGGAAAGGACTCTAGAACAAAAAAAGAAAAGAATAGAGTCAGTATCTGAAGAATCGTCATGAGCTGCCGTGTCCAGACTTAGTAGTAGTTCTATTTTATTGTATAATTTTTAAAGGTGAACTTATTTAAAGGTCCACCCCTTTCACTTGGTAGAATCATGCTCAAACTGTATTGTCTGCAGTAGGAGTGGTTTGATGAAGAACCACGCTCTCACACAATACAAACGTGAAATAGCAGATTTATGCTGCTGCGTTTCGTATGGTAAGAAATAAAAACCAGAGGCTCTTCTTACTGGTATCGAGGCATTCCATCTATGTTCTCATGAGTGACAAACCTATTGATTGATTCTCGCTATTCAAGAGATGTTTCAAATCAAGTCAAATATCTATATTCATGTAGGCTTTAAGGAAAGCACTTATGAACGTCATATTATAATAATTATTAGTTAAGGCTCAAGATATACTTGTACAGAGAAAAGCGCTAAAATAAACTATGTCTTTGGTGAATTTATATTCAGTACTAGCTGTGCCTCGCGGTTTCACCCGCGTCATCACGTGTCCGAGGTGCGTGACATGACATGACACCTAGTTCAAGCTTTTTATAATTGCAATTAAATATTTTATTTGATAGCAGTGTATGGAAAAATTGGCATAATTAATGGAGTACTTTTATCTGTCGGCTTATTATGTATGATGTAGAACGAAGTTAAGTTTTATCAACTTTCCCTCCCCCTCCCGGTTGAACGTCCTTCCCCCCGTCCCTCTCACGTCCCAGAAAGTGTCCCGAAGCGCGGTTTTCCAAGTTTTAAAGAAAACCGTACACGATACATGAAAATTGTGTAGGCACGAAATGATTCTTGATAAATTTGCTATCAAACTCTTGTACTTATTAAT